GAGAAATTAGACAGTAGTTCAATATGAAAAATTTAAAGTGAAAAAAGCTTAACTGATTATAGACATTTACAACAAGTCCAATCATTAAATGCTACATGAGCTTGACCCAATTAATAAACTAATATTGCGTTAATCGGCCAACCGGCCCGATGAGTAATTCAATAATCCCGGGCCAATTTCCACTATCTGGACTGTGTTTTAGGTATGATCGGGTCAAAGCTCGGTTGTAACTTGTAAGTTAGTAATACATTCTATTGTAACACATTATCAGTAGAAAAATATGCAATTTTCGTCCCGTAACTTTCTACCGTTTTTATTATAGTCTCATAACTTTAGTCACTTGCAAATTTGACATTGTAACTAATTAATATTTGCGATTGTATACTTTCCCTTGAAAAGTACACTTTCCGGCGATTGTATACCGGAAAAGGTGTCACCGGCGTTGGATTTTTCTATCGGAAAGTGTACTTTTCGGTGGAAAGGTCCTTAAATTGCAAAGATTTATAAGTTACAAAATTAAATTTGTAAGTGATTAAGGTTTATACGACTAAATGACTAATCCTAAATTCCTAATTTTTAACAAGTCTATGGAGGATTTTTATTGACGTGCTAAACAAACAATAAATTCAATTGGCTACATGTCCATCATCAAGATTTCCTATACATAAATAGTCATAAATGCTCTCTCTTTGCAATTAACCCACCTTATTGCAAAAATCACATGACCAACAAAACAAGGATAGCCCGCCATTATTATCTCTCAAAGAATTTCCAGAACATATAAAAATCGGTTCATATTCAAAGTTGACATTTTTATGACTTTCCACGTCTCTTTGCTTATAGTCATCCTATTCTCACAAATCACAAAGACTGGAGAAAATATGTACACATCTTTTTGACCCACACATAAAATTATCATATCAAGAATCCAACTTCATGATAGAGTATAATTCTGAACCTTAAACCTTTAGGGTATGTTTGGTTCAAGGAATGTCAGATTACCATGGGAATGTTAGATTACTGGGCATGTTAGATAGATGAGAATGTGATTAATGTATAACTCATTTGTGTTTGGTTACGGTTAAGGGAATGTCACATTAAGTTGTTTGGTTGAATGATATCTTATATTGCATATTTGGTGAATTACTTGAATGCCCTTTAAATATTTGTCTCTTAACACATTAAACTTATTACAACTTATAATTAAAGTAATTAAAACTATAGAAAAATAAAACATCGTAGTAATAATTAAAATAAAAACTAATTGAATTAATTCTAATCAAAATGTATTTAATTGCAAAAATGACTAAGATTAGTGAACATTAGTAAATAATTTTAAGCAAAATATTGTAATTGCACAAATGACAAAGATTAGTGAAAAAATATAGTATTAGCTTATAATATATAGTATAATTGTATAAATAATTTCAAACAACTATAATGAAAAAAATACAGTATAATTTTAAAAATTACAAAATGAAGAGTGATATATCAGAAGTTAAGAACTTGTATTAGATTAATGAAGCATGAGTTTTTTGGAAGAAAATTAGTAAGCCACCGGGAATCTAACATAACCTAAGACTCTAGTGGGTTTCACATGCCCATTCATGTGATCACCTTTTCCACTTCTGGGAATGTAACATTCCCAAAAAAAAATCAAACCCGCGAACCAAACACTCCCTTAATGTGAAATCTAGCCAAGAATATTAATCAATACGCACTGATTTCAGAACACTTAACATAAAGAAAAATTGGGTAATCCATTGCATCAAAGGAAGCACTCCTCTAATTCTTTGTAATACTACCTTGGATTCTTGGAATGGTCAAATCTTTCTAATTTGGAATAACCCATTCAGCTCACTACTTCCCTAAGGTGTAAGCAGATTGATAACCAAATAAAGATTCAATCTTTATCTTTGGGTGTTCAAAACATTGAGGCCAAAATCTTGGATTTCAATTGAAAAAAACTAACAACCCATACAGAAGTATCTATATGCATGTGTATGATGATCGATCAGCACTATAATGAAAGCTAAAACACAAGCAGAAGACGTACCTGGTTTAATCTGGGCAGAGATATAGTCATTCATATACAGAGAGATATAGAGAGAGAAATGGGCAAAGCATTTGAGAGAGATCAGAGGATGGAGAACGGCGAATGAGGAAGGCCAGAAAGAAGCAAAAGGCAAGGAATGAAGAAACTTTAGACTTGTTCAACGAGAGTGGCAATCAGGTGCCGTAGTCTGCACTCAACTCCACCAACTTCCAATCATCATTATGTCCTAAATAATGGTTTGCTAATTAATAGAGTAATGCCCGGGGTTGTTATACTAATTGATTATTAATATAGTAATATCCGGGGTTTGTTATACTAAAACACCTACTTTGATTATAGACCACCACCCCATGTTTTTTAATTGGGAAAGTTCCCGAAATAGAACTAAAAAAGTTTGAAAATTCCAAAATAGGACTGCCATGTTTTTATTCTCAAAATAGGACTAATTACTGTCGAATTTGGAAAATACTGCCATATTTGAAGTCTGGTACTGCCAAAACATGGCAGTAATTAGTCCTATTTTGGGAATAAAAACTTGGAAGTCCTATTTTGGAATTTGCAAACTTTTTTAGTCCTATTTCGGGTAATATCTCTTTTTAATTAAGAAAACAAAATACCAACTCTATTGTTCCTATTCCGGAGGGCCGAGTGGTTCTACCCGTGCGGGGTGGTTCGAGCGGCGTTTCTATATTGATATGTAGTGTGATTGGGCTCGTTTCGTAGATCGGACCTCCTGGGTTATTCGGCCTTGGTCTAATATTCCAACAATTTTAATCCCTATTTATACATAGGGACTATTTGTAATGGTTTCTCCTTAAAAAATTGTTTCTTTAAAGTATTCAGAAAAATGATTAGTACGGAGTACTACAGCTCTACAGTTGTTAATGTGATTTTTTTTTGAAAAAGTAAAGGGAAATGGGGCAAATAAGCCCACATACTAACTAAAAAAGTTCAAATAAGCCTTTATTTAAGATGTTCTGTCCGACCGTCGCCATTTTGGGCAGTTCCCGGTGGATTTTTTTGATGACATGTTTTGGGCATCTTAGTCATTAAGTGTAGTTTACTCATACCAAATTTCAGCTAACAATTCAATCTGGAAGGCATTCAAATGAATTCTTGAAGATAACTACGCTTTTAATTGCACAGTTATCTTCAAGAATTCATTTGAATGTCTTCTCGATTGAATTTTTAGCTGAAATTTGGTATGAGTAAACTAGACTTAATGAATAAGATGTTCAAAAAAGTTCACCAAAAGATTCCACCGAGAACAGAGCCTCCTATATAAGAGCTTATTTGACCTTTTTGGTTAGTACGTGGGATTCTTTGCCCCTTTTCTTAAAAAGTAAAAGATACTACCTCCATCCCGTTGGAAAGTTCCCTTAGCAAAACGACACGGTTATTTAGGCAATAATTATATAAATTACTTCGAGTATATTTTGAGAAACAATTTTAATAGGTATATATTATAATGTAGTTAGTATTGATAACTGTGATGAAATAAATGTATTATTATTAATATTTAATAATTAATTTGTCACTTAAGATTGTTAATTACTTCCTTAATTGGAAATGGGAACCTTTATATGCGACGTCCAAAAAAGGAATCCATGAACCTTTTAATAGGACAGAGGGAGTAGTATGTTTGATATAAAAAAAAATTGTGTAATAAAATAATAAAAAGCAGTTCTAAGTTGAACCGCTTTGAACAAAAAGCTGAAATGACTATTTAATCTGTTGCAAATACTCTCATTTATGCATGTTGGTTTTCAACATTAGGCATAGTTCGTTGTCAAAGTAAAATAAATTTGATATAAATAAAAAATGTTTTATACTCCATATAAGCGCTTAGATTAGTTTGTATTGAAGCAATTACTCCCATATCCCTTAATTAAAGTCTCATTTTCCTTAAATAGATGTTCCTTGATTATAGTCATATTTCTATTTTAGGAAAGAATATTACATGAAATGCCTTTAATACCCGTACACAGTGTTCTAAAAGGCGTAAGGCGTGTCAAGGCGGCACGGCCAACTGGCCAAGCCTTAAGCCTTCGGAGTTTAGGCGAGTTTATGCGCAGCCTAAGCGTGAAAAGGCGTTTTGAGTTTTTATTAATTATTTGGTTTTTCTAGAGCTATTAGTAGTATATAAATTTGAGTTTAGATAAAATCATGCAAAAAAATTATAAGAATTCAATTTTATAACAAAAATGTACTTCTGAAGTTTTAAAAATCACAAAAAATAGTTGTGACTATGCTTGCTACAAAAAATAAAACTAGATAACTAATTAGATAATGAAACAATAAGCACGATGATGATAATAATACCTAATGTAACACCGTCCCCAAATGTATTTACTTTTATGTAAATGATGTAATAAACCTTATGGAATGATTTATGAATTGACGAGGTTGTAAATTTTTATTATTTCTTTCGCGTGAATAGTAAATTGCACGTGGGACCCACACCGGGAGCGGGGGCCGCCCGACACTCCCAAGACCACATATTTTATTCAACTTGGTCAAGATAATATTTATATAGTGGTGGATATTTTATTTGGGTCGTGGAAAGGCGCAGGGTTGACCGATTGGGAAAGAGAGGCCCAATTACCGGTACCGACAATTTAACAGATAACAGCCCGAAAATGAATTTCGGAGGCTTATAAATTAAAGTTGAGGAATGTATATTCATTATACATGTCATAATGAGTAAGAGCACATAATATATTTTATTTGACCCGATAAAATAAAATATATTTAAAACAGTCCGAAAAATACAACTTTCGGGGCCGATTGTACACATCGGGACTTAATGGGATGACCTCCCACAAGGGTGGGGGCCACCCCACGTTTTTGTGTGCTCAAAACAAACAAGGAGGTGGCTGAGTTGACAAAGGAAGGAGTGGAGGAGGTGCTTTTGGCATCTAAGGTACATGGAGGACCCCCCTCCCTCACTCATTTGTCAATTAAGACAAAAGTGAGACATCCCCTCTCCCTCCAACCATTGAGCTCGACCAGACCATCCAAGGGAGAGAGAAGGAGCTTCAAAATCACCTCCATTGCTGCAAATTTGAGCTCAAGCTTTAGTGCTCAAAGGAAGAAGATTAAAGAGGGAAAAAGTTGGGAAAAGTGTGAACAATTAAGGTAATGACCTTATATTAACTTTTCCTTTATTTTTCTTCCACCATATGAAGTATATATCATATGAAGAACCTTTAGTATGGTTCAATATGTTATAAGTATGGATCTATGGGGTGGAAGATGGTTCTAAGTCCAAGAACGGACTTAGAAGCCAAAACGACCGGTTCACCGGAAAATAACCTTTTTGAGGTTATTTGTATTAATATGGGTTTTATGATTATAAAACCTTGTTAGGAACTTGTAAAGGGTATTTCAAGTGATTTCACAAAGTTGGAAAAAGTCGCCGGAGTTGTCGCCGGAGTTGACCGAAAGTCGCCGGAGTTTCACCGGAGTTCAACCAAGAAGGGTAGAACTTCATAACGCTAATTCAAGGTGAGTGGACGGCTTAATATCTTATAACTTTTGGGTTAATTATGAGATTACCTAAATAAATGTTATATGTGTTCATAATGATGTTTAAAAGATATTTAAACATGTGATTAGCCAACATTATCAAGTTGTATGAAAAGAATTAATTGATTATGCATGAAATATGATATGAGAAATTATATAAAATGCACATTAGCTTGAAGTGTGAAAGAAGCTCAAATGAGTATTATTGACTTGATTATATGATGATTAAGTTGATATGTACAAGGCTTGAATTGACGGTCAACGACAACGTTGACCGATGGATAATGGATTAATTAATATCGGTTGATGTTAGTTAATTATACATTTATATAAATGCATGGCTTTGCATGGATTGTGATACATAAGATTTGTGTATTGGATTAGTTATGAGTAACTAAGGATGGTATAGACTCTATCTAGGTTGATAGGAGGTTGATCATAGGGAAATATTTTGGTGGAGGACCCTAGTACTTAAAAGTACTTAACACTCAAAACTTGGTGGAGGACCCTAGTACTTAAAAGTACTTAACACTCAAACTTGGTGGAGGACCCTAGTACTTAAAAGTACTTAACACTCAAAACTTGGTGGAGGACCCTAGTACTTAAAAGTACTTAACACTCAAACTTGGTGGAGGACCCTAGTACTTAAAAGTACTTAACACTCAAAACTTGGTGGAGGACCCTAGTACTTAAAAGTACTTAACACTCAAAACTTGGTGGAGGACCCTAGGACTTAAAGTCCTTAACACTCAAACTTGGTGGAGGACCCTAGTACTTAAAAGTACTTAACACTCAAAACTTGGTGGAGGACCCTAGTACTTAAAAGTACTTAACACTCAAAACTTGGTGGAGGACCCTAGGACTTATGAGTCCTTAACACTCACAAACCGGTGGAGTATCCAAGGATTTTGATCCTAAAACTCATAGATTATGATATACAATTAGGGACAAGGAGGAGTCCTATACACTCATAGGTATATGGGTGGGTTGGGGTTTTTAGTCAAGAATATTGACTATTACTATTTTTCCCAAATAAAATGGCGATCTACGGATCGGATATTTTCCAAGTATATATATACTAATAAGTATTTCATAACTTGGGGGAAAGACTATTTATTTAAGTATCACCCTATGTTTGGGTCTTATACTTGAAACGCTAGTTATTCTATATTTAGCCTGCTACTCGCTCGGTACTTGTACTGACCCCTTCGGGGGGCCCCACCATTTTCAGGTTGAAGCTAGGGCTTGCTACTTGCACCTTCTCACGGGTGGTATCATATCGGGAAGACGTGGTTCGTGCTTCCTTATTTTCTTTCAAACTACTGAACACTTGCTCATGGATATTTGCTCTACTATAAACTATTTTTGGGGCTTGCATGCCCATGTTGTTGGCCGGTTGTGGCTTATGACTTACCGTTGAATATTTCCGCTATTCATTGGTTTAAATGTGATGTTGTTATGTATGTTTACTACTGAGTATGGATGGATTATATTCTCGAACGCCTTGTGTAATTAAGTGAGGTTGACTCGCGGGTGACGTCACTTGATTATACGGCGGTTGTACACGTGCTTGGATTGCGGTCTGGGGCGTGACAATTAAGTGGTATCAGAGCCATCTCAGTTCTAAACTATATAATCGACCACTCACAAAGGATTTTACAAAAGAGTTTTTACCGAAAACCATGAGCATTGTATTTTGACGTTTATAGGACTATTGGTGCTTAAGTTGCAAGGCCTCTAATTGTTAAGACGGTACCCTTAACAATTGGTATGGTAGTGACTTGGGCCAATACGTGTCTGTAACGTTTTTCCGTCAATTGACATTTATAGGAGTCTAATGACTCATCCATATTTCTTTCAGAAATGGAGGGCAGGCGAATGGGGACCAGGAACAACCCGAGGGGGCAGACGCCGGTAGCATCCCAAAGGGGAAGCCGGGCTGCATCTCGGGGTTCAAGAGGAGGCCGTGGGGGTCGTGGAAGCCGTGGAGGTCATCAAGCTCAAACTGTGAGTGATGGCCATGTAAGCTCGGTGTATGAAACCAACACCGAGGACTATGACTCGACCTACGTTCCAGAAACGGAGCATGAGGAGACCCCGTATGATGGGGGTGACACATACACCGATGATGATGATGAAGAGAGTGATGCCAAGTTCGCCCAAATGGACGAATTGCTTGAGTGGTATCAAAAAGAAAAGCTGAGGAGAGACCTTAGGCGCCAAGCAAGGCGTGGCTCTCGCGGTGGTTCGGGTCAAGGAAGCCGGGGAGCTTCAAGGTCCACTCCCGTAGCGCCACATGATGGGCGTGAGGGAGGTTTTGTTGTGAGAATCTCCAAGTACCTCAAGGAGGCTAGGGCCTTGGGGTGTAAGTCCTTTGACGGCACCGGTGACATTACCGTTGCCGCCGACTGGATAAAGAAGGTGAAGGATGCGGCAAAAGACATGCAAATTTCACCGGACGTGAAGTTGACTGTTGCTTCACGGCTGCTTGAGGGGATAGCTTCCACGTGGTGGGAGAGTGTAGAAGGAAAATACCATGGGGAGGTCTCGTGGTTGAACTTTGAGCAGGAATTTTATGACCAATACTACACTGACTACGAGAAAAATGTCAAGCGTAGGGAGTACACCAACCTCAAACAGAAGGAGGGTGTTTCTGTTAAACAGTTGGAGCAAGATTTTAGAACCTTGGCTAGGTTCTTACCGGAGTACGCGATCAACGAGGACCGCATGTCGGAGCACTTTTGGGATGCCTTACTCTTGGACATCCGTGATCGGGCTACGTACTCGCGCCACATGACCTTTAGCGAGGTGGTGGAGCAGGGCCTTCTTGGGGAGGCTCAATGGAACGAGAGAAAAGAAAGAGACGCCGAGGAGGCGAAAAAGAGAAAATGGCATAATTCGGGGCCGCCCGAGCAAGCACGGAAGAATAACCACGGCGGGGGTGGTGGTACGTTCAAGGCGCCGGCACCACCGGCGAAGAAGAACAAGGATGCTCGGTGGCACGCATCCTCCTCTCAAAATACGGGGCCTCCTAAGTGTGCCAACTGTTCAAAGAACCACTTTGGGAAGTGCAACGCACCCCCGAGGTGTTATCGATGTGGGAACACGGGCCACATGAAGGCCAATTGCCCACAATTGGGGGGAGGAGGAGCTCCGGGATCCGGAGGAGGAACCATGACGGGAAGAAACCGTGCGGGCCCGTCAAACGGCGGTACGGGAAGGGGCGGTGCGTCCACAAGTCATGCCGCGTCCGTCAACCAAGGTGGGACCCAAGCACGAGTGTACGCAATGACCGAGGCGGATGCGCGAGCAAACCCGGACTCTGTTGCAGGTAATACACTTATGTTCCTGTATTTCTAGGCTTATTTGGGTCATACGAGTCATTGGGTTTGGGTGCGGGCCACCCCGGGGTCAAACCCCGCGAATTCGGGGCGAAACGGGCTAAAAACAACTACGCGCGATCGCGCGTACCTACAGACGCACGACCGTGCGTGCGAGGCAGCAGCCTCTGGCCGTTTTCCGCGCAGACGCACGCCGTGCGTGCAGGTAAGGCACGCCGTGCGTGGGACGCACGATCGTGCGTGACCAGCTACGCACGATCGTGCGTAGCCGGCAGTGGCGGATTCCGATTTTCTCACGCACGCACGACCGTGCGTGCCACCCAGGCACGCCGTGCGTGGACCCCCAACACCCGAAACTTGATTTTTCCGCCCCGTTCTTCTACGTTTGGACCCCCGTTTGATTCCAAACATTAGTATGAGCCTAATAACCTCCTAAAGATGTGTTAAAACATTAGAAAATGTATCTTACATGTGTATAAATGTAGGAACATTAAAGATCAATGGTAGGTGTGCGAGGATCCTCATTGATACCGGGGCACAACGCTCATTTGTGAGTGAGGCGTTCGCCGAGGGCCTTGACGTGCCATTGACACCTATGACTCAAACGTTGCTAGTCTCCACACCGTTAGGAGACGACGTGGAGAGAAATCATTACTATCCGTCGTGTGAGGTAGAAGTGACGGGTCAACCTTTGACTTGTGATTTCGTACCTCTAAGCATGTTGGAGTTCGATGCAATCCTAGGAATGGATTGGCTCGAGAAACACCATGCCCGAGTAGATTGCTACACCAAAGTGTTGGAGCTCGAGGATGATCAAGGGAACACGCTATGCTTTGAGGGAGATCGGGGGAAACCTAGTGCTTGTATCATATCCGTGATGAGAGCACGGAAGATGATGAGGAAGGGATGCCACGCGTACCTTGCCTACGTGGTGGACGATACTAAGAAGGAAGTCGACATCAAGGATGTACGGGTCGTGTGCAAGTACCCGGATGTCTTTCCCAAAGACCTACCGGGGCTTCCACCCGATAGAGAGATTGAATTTGTAATTGAAGTGGAGCCGGGAACCAAACCCATTTCGATTCCTCCTTATCGAATGGCACCGGCCGAACTTCAAGAGTTGAAGGTCCAACTACAAGAATTATTGGACAACGGATTCATCAGACCCAGTCATTCACCGTGGGGGGCACCTGTACTCTTCGTGAAGAAGAAGGATGGTACACTAAGAATGTGTATTGACTACCGACAATTGAACAAGGTCACAATCAAGAACAGGTATCCCTTACCGAGGATTGATGACTTGTTTGATCAGCTTCGGGGGGCAATAGTGTTCTCGAAGATTGATTTGAGGTCGGGGTATCATCAGTTGAAGATCAAGGAGAGCGACATACCTAAGAGTGCATTCCGCACTAGGTATGGTCATTACGAGTTCCTTGTGATGTCGTTTGGTTTAACCAACGCACCGGCGGCATTCATGGACTTGATGAACCGGGTGTTTAGTGAATACTTAGATCAATTTGTGATAGTATTCATTGATGATATCTTGATATACTCCAAGAGTGAGGAGGAGCACGAGCATCATTTGGGGCTTATACTTGATCGGCTAAGGGAAAAGCAACTCTTTGCCAAGTTCTCTAAATGCGAATTTTGGCTCAAGGAGATTGGTTTTCTCGGTCACGTCATATCCGGTTCGGGCGTAGCTGTGGATAACGCCAAGATAAAAGCTATTATGGATTGGGAGAGACCCAAGAATGTGAAAGAGATACGTAGTTTCCTTGGCTTAGCGGGATACTATCGTAAATTTGTTGAAAAATTCTCCGTATTGGCGTCTCCATTAACGAAGCTCACAAAGAAAGGGGCCAAGTTCATATGGGACGACAAGTGTGAGAAAGGGTTCCTTGAACTGAAGAAACGACTTACCGAAGCACCAGTCCTCGCCCTACCCATACAGGGGATAGGGTATGATATATACAGCGATGCTAGCATCCAAGGGCTTGGATGTGTACTGATGCAAAACGGTAAGGTGATTGCCTATGCTTCTAGGCAATTGAGGAAACACGAGGTGAACTACCCTACCCACGACCTAGAATTGGGGGCGGTAGTGTTTGCACTAAAAATTTGGAGGCATTATCTCTACGGGGAGACATGTCACATTTATACCGATCATAAGAGCTTGAAGTATGTATTCACTCAAAAAGAGTTGAATATGAGACAAAGGAGATGGATGGAGTTGATCAAGGACTATGACTTGATCATCGACTATCATCCCGGAAAGGCCAACGTAGTGGCCGACGCACTGAGCAGGAAGAGTACGTCAGGGACGTTGCTTACTTGTCTGCAGGCATTGAGGGCACGCGTGGAGGTGTCCACGTGCGGGGCTCTCATTGCTCAATTTGAGGTTAGGCCCACCCTATTGGGTGAGATTAGTCGAAGTCAGGCCATTGATGAAGAATGTCAGAAGATCCGTGAAAGAATCCTTGAAGGACCCGTTGAGAACTTCCGAGTACGTGATGACGGTCTATTATTGTTTAAGGATCGTGTATGCATACCAAAGAATGAGGAACTCCAGAAGTCTATACTTGAGGAGGCTCATTCTTCAGCTTATGCTATGCATCCAGGAGGTACTAAGATGTACCGAGATTTGAAGGAAAGTTACTGGTGGTCAGGTATGAAGAGGGACATCGCAGAGTATGTGAGTCGATGCCTTACTTGCCAGCAAGTTAAGGCAGAACATCAGCACCCGGCAGGGCTTTTGCAGCCACTCACCATCCCAGAGTGGAAGTGGGAGCACGTGACCATGGACTTCGTGGTGGGGCTACCACGAACAGTGAACAACTATGATGCAGTTTGGGTAGTGGTTGATAGGCTCACCAAGAGTGCACACTTTTTGCCTATCAACATTACTTATCCTCTTGAAAGATTGGCCAAGCTCTACACGGAGGAGATTGTGAGATTACATGGAGTCCCGATATCCATTGTCTCGGATAGGGATCCACGATTCACATCCCGATTTTGGCCAAAGTTTCAAGCATCGTTGGGTACTAAACTGAAGTTTAGCACAGCTTTTCACCCACAGACGGATGGACAGTCTGAGCGGGTGATACAGATTTTGGAAGACATGCTTAGGGCATGTGCCCTGGAGTTCCAAGGAAGTTGGGACAAACATTTGGCTCTAGTGGAGTTTGCTTATAACAACAGTTATCAAGCAAGTATCGGCATGCCTCCATATGAGGCATTGTATGGGAGGAAGTGCAGAACACCATTGTGTTGGGACGAGGTTGGCGAGGCCAAACTCGAAGGAGTGGAACTAGTCGAGATCACCAAGGCCAAGGTGAGGGTCATTCGAGATAGATTGAAGGCCGCTCAGGACCGACAGAAGAGTTATGCTGATAAACGGCGGAGACCGTTGGAGTTCGAAGTCGGTGATGAGGTCTTCCTAAGGATTTCTCCTTGGAAGGGCATCATTCGATTTGTATCGAGGGGAAAGCTTAACCCCCGATACATCGGTCCATTTGAAATCCTTGAAAGGATAGGGGCCGTGGCTTACCGACTCAAGTTGACGCCTGAACTTGAGAAGATACATGACGTGTTTCATGTATCAATGCTCAAGAAGTACATACGAGACCCATCTCATATTCTTGAGAAACCACCGGTGGAGATCCGTGAGGACTTGCAATATGCGGTGGAACCAGTGAAGATTGTTGGTCAACAAGTGAAGAAACTTAGGAACAAGGAGATTCCTATGGTGAAGGTTCTTTGGAGGAGTGATCGAGTCGAAGAGGAAACTTGGGAGACTGAGGTCTCAATGAGGGAGCAATACCCATTCCTTTTCGATTAGACACGTGGATTTCGGGGACGAAATCCCAAATAAGGGGGGGTGAACTTGTAACACCGTCCCCAAATGTATTTACTTTTATGTAAATGATGTAATAAACCTTATGGAATGATTTATGAATTGACGAGGTTGTAAATTTTTATTATTTCTTTCGCGTGAATAGTAAATTGCACGTGGGACCCACACCGGGAGCGGGGGCCGCCCGACACTCCCAAGACCACATATTTTATTCAACTTGGTCAAGATAATATTTATATAGTGGTGGATATTTTATTTGGGTCGTGGAAAGGCGCAGGGTTGACCGATTGGGAAAGAGAGGCCCAATTACCGGTACCGACAATTTAACAGATAACAGCCCGAAAATGAATTTCGGAGGCTTATAAATTAAAGTTGAGGAATGTATATTCATTATACATGTCATAATGAGTAAGAGCACATAATATATTTTATTTGACCCGATAAAATAAAATATATTTAAAACAGTCCGAAAAATACAACTTTCGGGGCCGATTGTACACATCGGGACTTAATGGGATGACCTCCCACAAGGGTGGGGGCCACCCCACGTTTTTGTGTGCTCAAAACAAACAAGGAGGTGGCTGAGTTGACAAAGGAAGGAGTGGAGGAGGTGCTTTTGGCATCTAAGGTACATGGAGGACCCCCCTCCCTCACTCATTTGTCAATTAAGACAAAAGTGAGACATCCCCTCTCCCTCCAACCATTGAGCTCGACCAGACCATCCAAGGGAGAGAGAAGGAGCTTCAAAATCACCTCCATTGCTGCAAATTTGAGCTCAAGCTTTAGTGCTCAAAGGAAGAAGATTAAAGAGGGAAAAAGTTGGGAAAAGTGTGAACAATTAAGGTAATGACCTTATATTAACTTTTCCTTTATTTTTCTTCCACCATATGAAGTATATATCATATGAAGAACCTTTAGTATGGTTCAATATGTTATAAGTATGGATCTATGGGGTGGAAGATGGTTCTAAGTCCAAGAACGGACTTAGAAGCCAAAACGACCGGTTCACCGGAAAATAACCTTTTTGAGGTTATTTGTATTAATATGGGTTTTATGATTATAAAACCTTGTTAGGAACTTGTAAAGGGTATTTCAAGTGATTTCACAAAGTTGGAAAAAGTCGCCGGAGTTGTCGCCGGAGTTGACCGAAAGTCGCCGGAGTTTCACCGGAGTTCAACCAAGAAGGGTAGAACTTCATAACGCTAATTCAAGGTGAGTGGACGGCTTAATATCTTATAACTTTTGGGTTAATTATGAGATTACCTAAATAAATGTTATATGTGTTCATAATGATGTTTAAAAGATATTTAAACATGTGATTAGCCAACATTATCAAGTTGTATGAAAAGAATTAATTGATTATGCATGAAATATGATATGAGAAATTATATAAAATGCACATTAGCTTGAAGTGTGAAAGAAGCTCAAATGAGTATTATTGACTTGATTATATGATGATTAAGTTGATATGTACAAGGCTTGAATTGACGGTCAACGACAACGTTGACCGATGGATAATGGATTAATTAATATCGGTTGATGTTAGTTAATTATACATTTATATAAATGCATGGCTTTGCATGGATTGTGATACATAAGATTTGTGTATTGGATTAGTTATGAGTAACTAAGGATGGTATAGACTCTATCTAGGTTGATAGGAGGTTGATCATAGGGAAATATTTTGGTGGAGGACCCTAGTACTTAAAAGTACTTAACACTCAAAACTTGGTGGAGGACCCTAGTACTTAAAAGTACTTAACACTCAAACTTGGTGGAGGACCCTAGTACTTAAAAGTACTTAACACTCAAAACTTGGTGGAGGACCCTAGTACTTAAAAGTACTTAACACTCAAACTTGGTGGAGGACCCTAGTACTTAAAAGTACTTAACACTCAAAACTTGGTGGAGGACCCTAGTACTTAAAAGTACTTAACACTCAAAACTTGGTGGAGGACCCTAGGACTTAAAGTCCTTAACACTCAAACTTGGTGGAGGACCCTAGTACTTAAAAGTACTTAACACTCAAAACTTGGTGGAGGACCCTAGTACTTAAAAGTACTTAACACTCAAAACTTGGTGGAGGACCCTAGGACTTATGAGTCCTTAACACTCACAAACCGGTGGAGTATCCAAGGATTTTGATCCTAAAACTCATAGATTATGATATACAATTAGGGACAAGGAGGAGTCCTATACACTCATAGGTATATGGGTGGGTTGGGGTTTTTAGTCAAGAATATTGACTATTACTATTTTTCCCAAATAAAATGGCGATCTACGGATCGGATATTTTCCAAGTATATATATACTAATAAGTATTTCATAACTTGGGGGAAAGACTATTTATTTAAGTATCACCCTATGTTTGGGTCTTATACTTGAAACGCTAGTTATTCTATATTTAGCCTGCTACTCGCTCGGTACTTGTACTGACCCCTTCGGGGGGCCCCACCATTTTCAGGTTGAAGCTAGGGCTTGCTACTTGCACCTTCTCACGGGTGGTATCATATCGGGAAGACGTGGTTCGTGCTTCCTTATTTTCTTTCAAACTACTGAACACTTGCTCATGGATATTTGCTCTACTATAAACTATTTTTGG